GGCTTATCCTGGAGGTGACTTGCGGTCAAAACCAGGTGGCCGCGGAATCTTACAGTTGCCGCTTTATCGCAACTTGTAGACAATCGAGCGCCCTCAAAGGGACCATCAATATAGTAGGATCCTGATTACAACCACCCTTAATAACTTAATCCTGGACCCCAAATCCTAACCCCTTTCTCAAACCCCATGTAGCCTAAACCTGCAATTGTAAGGACCCTGTGAACTCACCAAACCCCTAAGATGAAGACTCTCTGAATACTCAAAAACTCCTACCCAATTTTAAGACCCCCCCCCCTAAACACTGGACCTCTACCTGTATCCCCGAACCCTACGAAATAGTAGGTTATGACCCCTTAATTATAGGGCCCAACCCCTAAAACAGTAGGTTTTGGATCCCAAGGTAGTGTTAAGAAGCCTAAACCCTAAACCCCTAAACCCTAAACCCCTAAACCCTAAACCCTAAACGCTGGACCTCTAGTGTTAAGAAGCCATCATATGTAGGGCAGCTACGAGCAGCCAAGGAGCGCGGTGTGTCTGGCAGCGAGCTTGGAGCCATGGCAGAGACTCCAATATCCCTTAATTAGGGAATATACCTTAAATCCATATTAAGGGATCCTACCATGATTTAAGGAATATTCCTTAATTAAGGTATATTGGAGTCTCTGGATGGCAGTCTCTGCAAAGTCGTGGGTGTCTTTACGGTTGCAAAATTAAACCTGGCGCGATGATATTCCCGGCCTCAACCCAAAAAACCTACCTTTAAACGAACTGCGTAAGGAAACCATATGGAGAAACGCTCGAAATGGTAGCCCTCTGAATCCTAAACAAGCCAGCCTGGATGAGGCTTAAAGTGCTAGAAACTGGCCACTTTCGGGGTCACCTTTGAAGCCGCAGCTTTGTATAAAGCACACAGAGTCGGCAACACACGAGCACGGCATGCTCGGATTCTGACGAAAGTCTGGCAAATGCCTCTGGTGTCCAGTGATTTCAGGCAAGACCGTTAGCTCTATAAGGGTGGTTACCCTAAATATTCGGTGTCGTACGATATTAAGGACCCAAAAAGGGACCATAATATTTACAACCACCCATGAACCTCTGGTACCACCACAAAAACTGCCGGGATGGGTCCCCCGAAACCCACCAGAAGCCGCATTCCGGACACCTGCTTTGAGGTTTATATGGCAGCTTCCGAAAAAAGGGGACCCTAGTATAGTACCCTAAATAGTAGGATCCTTATTATAAGGACCCCAAAATAATTCTCGGAAACTCCCATATGGCTTATTGAGTAGCTTCAAGGCTTTGGGCTTATAAGAGCTTTGAAGATTAGGAGTTTTGGGGGCTTTGCTTCCCACCTAGCCTAGCTCGGGGGTTTAGGGATTAGGGTTTAGGGTTCCCGGAAGAGCCCTCTTTGGAGGTTCATGGGTAGTTCTAAGTAGGGTAGCTGTACTTATAACCCATATTAAGGGACTTATACATACCCTACTTACAACTACCCATGAACCTCCCAAGTATAGCAGGAGTATGAGCGATAGCGTAGGCACATCTCGCAGCTTCTCCTGTGCAAGGCTAGGCCTGCTCAAGGGACTTGAGGGATCTCCGAAACCCTGAAACCCTGATCTCTGAAACCCTAAACCCTGATCACCGAAACCCTGATCACTGAAACCCTAAGCCCTGATCTCTGAAACCCTAAACCCCACACTCTTCCAAGCCGCCGTTGCCTCACATTTGCGCTCGGGTGACCCGGGGAAGGTCGGGAAGGGGTAGCTGAGATCCCTCAAACCCTGACCTCGGACGCCTACTGTACTTCTACCTATAGTCTCCATCGTAGTTCCATTTTTGGGTTAACCAAAATCTCTATTTTAGGATCCTAACCATAAAACTGGTGAACCAGAAAAAGTAACTACAATGGAGACTGAAGGCAGTGTAATTACTGAAGAACCCTAGGGAAGAGTATGGGTAATTATTGAAGCCCCTGCATGACGCTGAGACCTTTTTAGTTGCCAACGGCCATCATTCACGTCAGTAAAGGGAACTCCAGAAAGTTGGAATATGGAGTCATGGTAGGATCCCCTATAATTTACCTTAAAGGGGTGACGATAATGATATTCGAACTTTCTGGCTTCTACTGTGGCCCTGCGGCGCATAGGCATGGCCCTCCGCTTCAGCGCAGAGACGACCTGCAGCACTGCTAACTAATCCCTAGGGCTCCAGTGACCTAAATAGTAGGTTACTGGGGTACATACTATATGGTTAGTAACCTACTATTTAGGTAACTGGAGCCCTAGGGAACCACAGCAGCAACAACAATAGCAACAGAAACACTACGTGATAACAGCAGTCATAACAAGAGCAATAGTAGTTGTAGCTATATGTGGTAATAGTCATGGCGGTAGACTGATAGTCATGGTCACAGACATAGTGGTACTAATAGTGTAGCAAGAACCCTTGCAATAAAGACATGTGAGATCCGACACGTATAGACGTATAGCACGAAGCAGCGGCAGTAGTAATCGGCATCGCCGCCGCCGCCGAAGTTCCTAGAATCGCAGCGAGTATGAGTATGTACTGCCCACGATAACGCTCATCTGAATGGGCATTGCACTCATTTTTTTCACGTAGGACCCCTTTGCGTGGCACGAAGCTCAGGGTTGAACAGGACGGGTCTTCGAGTTGTAGAAGGCCCCTGCTCTTGGACGTCCCTTTTAAGGACATCTTTTCCGAGTAGTGCCCGGCCTTGACTGTCAAATGTTGACTGCTTTTAAAGCCCTTACTTCCTCAATAAGCCACAGAAATAAAAAGGTTCAAATTTCAGGTTACTGCTAAACCATTTTCAACCCAACAAGATTAAAGGTTGGGTATTGGAGAAGCAAGAACCGGTTTAAGGTTTCCAATTAGTTTACATTTAGTTTAATTTGGGTCTGGCTAAGACCCACGCCTTGGAACATAATCCCTGACACACCGGCATTCAGCAGTGACCTCCCTATCATCCTCCGGCTTACGAAAAGTTGAACACGTCCTCCGCCCGAGGATTCACAACACAAACACCCTACAAGGACAACCAAGTTCTCAGGCAACGTTCCACCGGTCCATCTGAATTGCCAGCTGCTAGCTTACACACTAGGGGATGTCTTAGAAGGGGCCCCCACCCTGTAATAGTGACTATAAGGATTATATCAGGGCCCTATTATATTCCGATTATGCCACTATTACAGGGTGGGGGCCCCTTCTAAGGGATGTCCGATTCTGGCAAAACCTTCATCTCCAGGTTGATGCGACTGTCTCTGACCTGTAACGATTCTGCTTATAGTAAACCCCAAATGATTAGGAATTAGGAAAGGATTTTGGAAGGGTTCTATACTGTAGCTATAATATGTATTATACGGAAATGCAAAGATGGTACCAGTATATAATTATTCAGGTTTCGACTCTACACAGGCTCAATCTTTGCAAAGAACACCTCGGTTCCAGGGTTAGGGTGTCGCAGCAGGGTCTATACACAGCAACCAAAATCCTGAACCCTGTAGTCACCCTTATACTAACCGTTTAGGACACCTCGCAATGAACCTTATTATAGGAACCCTTATGGATGCTAAACCCTGGAGTGTCGCGAATGAGGTCAACTTCAACTAAGCTTGAAAGCATCAGCCAAGATCCCGGGCACGAACAAGTAATATAGGGGCCGTAATAAATAGAATAGGGTTTTGGGATGCATTATGCCATAACAAAAAAAGAAGGAACCTCCAAACAACAGCATTGGTAATTTTTTAGGCCCCTATATTAAGACGTCCAGTGCCTTTCTAAAGATCCCCTCGGGGGATGGAAAACAACTGTGCCTTGAAAAGGAGATCGGGTCAAGGGTCTTGTGGGCTTTAGTGCAGGGGATTCGTGTTGTCGGGTTCATTGAGGGGTTTAAAGCTTAGGTGTTTAGGGCTTTGGTGTTTCGGGTGGAGAGGCATACGGTAGGGTGCCCAAATTCAGGGCAGCAACCGGCCTGCAGCACTCCGCGCAGCGAACACTCTCCAGCGCCAGCCATTACAGTAAGCAGTCGTAGTAATAGTAGTAGTCGTAGTAGTAGTAGTAGTAGTAGCAGTAGTAGTAGTAGTAGTAGTAGTAGTAGTAGTAGTGGTGGTAGTAGTAGTAGCAGTAGCAGTAGCAGTAGCAGTAGCAGTAGCAGTAGTAGTAGTAGTAGTAGTAGTAGTAGTAGTAGTAGTAGTAGTAGTAGTAGTAGTAAGCTACAGAAAGTTGGAACATCAGTATCAGGACTAAAGTGAACAGGAAGTCCAGCACAAATCATCCTAAATCAATGTTCCAACTTTCTAGGATCCACTGTAACCCCAATTACCCAGGGGGTCCATACATAAATATATATATATATATATATATATACTACCATTATGGAATCAGGTCCCAAAAGACCATCCCTATAATTATGGCGTTGGGGGCCTAATTCCATATAATGGTAGTATATATGGACCCTGTAGGTTATTCTACCAAGATATCGAATGCTAAGCCCCTGGGCCCTAAAAAAGGCTGGTGTCAAAGCCCATAATGTTTAAGCAAGCACAATATGAGCGACGACCTGAACCCCAAACTTAGACTTTGAAACCCTCATGTAGCCCCTCCGATAACCTAGCTTTTATACGGACCAACACGTTTGGTTGTTGAGGTTTCCGGTATACACGCAGGAGCCGCTGACCATACCCTAAAAACCCTCTTAGTCATCCGCAGAGTGCTGCAATTCTGGGGTGGCGTGTGGTGAGCCCGAAGCATCGGACTGAGAAGCTGCGCCGGTCTATGGCAAGCTTCGCTGTTCACCGACTGGCCGTCTTAATGCTTGGCAGCAGACAGTACATCATCTCAAATAGCATCCTCGTTGTCACCATCGTAAGGTCCTAGAAGTAGCCAGAACAAAATATGATTCATTACAAGACAAAGGACCTAGTTCAGCTTCTCAGTCTTTCGGGCACGTCCCGACTTCCTAGCCGAAGTGGCGCTGTCAGTCATCTTCTTCTGACCTTTCTCACTCTGGGCACGACCTTCCTGGGCAACGACGGCAGTGTCCGTCGACTTCTTGTGCCTGATCTGGTTGCCGTGGCTGCGAACAAGCCACCGCGAAACCCTTCCGCACCGCCCGAACTTCAAACGCCCAAGTCTTAATGATGTGTCGAGGCTGAACTTTACCCGCAAGCCCTGTATCATGGTTCAGGCTCGCCTGTTCATTAGGGACCAGAACCACCCCCAAACGCAGGCAAGCAAGGTTTGCAAGCTCCCCTATATACTTTACCTATACCCTAGACCTCGTGCTTTCCCACTCTCACACACACGCATCGAAGATCCATTACGACAGGGATCATGGTCTAGAGTTTAGCACGTAAATCACGACTCCGCGTTCCTTTCCGGCAGACAATCCTGTGAATGGTCGCAAAGTAGGAGTTGATCACGACTCCCCAGACCTTCCAAAGTCCCTCAATGAAGGAATATACCTCAAACGATAATAGGATCCCTAATATGACTTAAGGTATATTCCTTAATAAAAAGATTTTTGGAAGGTCTGGGTCAAGACCTTGCAAATACGGCCGGTGATTCCCGGGTTTATCCTAGTAGTGCTTCGATCCCCAATAGCTCCAAGCCTTCGAGCCAGCATCGCCTCCTTGAAACCATCCAAACCAAACCCGCAAGTAATAGTAATATTTAGTAAGACTAACAGTAGTAGTGATAAGAGTAATAATGATAATAATAGTAAAAATAATACAAATAGCAAGAGCAATAATAGTAACAAGTAGTTGCAGTCATACGAGCCCAGATCTCTGCAGTACCAAAGCGATAGAGGGGCGCACGCTGAAACTATCATGCAGGACGCCAAGCTGATCGAGGAAGCCCGGTCCGAAACCGAGAGTCTATAATCCCTTAATACAATTCACATAAGGGGTCCTACTATAATCTAAGGTATGTTCCGTAATTCCCTTATAAAACCCTTATAGATCCCTTACAGAAGCCTTTTGTGAGCACATGACGGTCTTCTCACTGGACACTTTTACCCTGAAGCCTAAACCTCTACCGAGAGAGCCCGACACCCCCTAATTAAGGAATATGGCTTAAATTAGCTTGGGTTTCATATTATGATTAGGGCATATTCATACATATATATATATATATATATATATTCCTCAATAGGGTTTCATAATATGATTAAAGCCATATTCCTCAAACATGGTTTCATAATATGATTAAAGCCATGTATTCCTCAATTAAGGGGTATTGGGCTCTCTGGGTAACACGGCCAAAGGCGCTTTTTCTTGTTAAAGTTCGACCAATAGATGTGCAGTCGACCGGAGCTGATCCTGATCCTCGGCTGTCGGTAGTTCTCTGTAAGGTCCGGGTTGAGGGGGAGGTTGAAATCAATTTAGGATTTAAGAGTTTAGGGCGCATGCTCCCTCAAATAATGCTTTTGCTTATTGAGGGCCGCCATTAAACTCTAATCAACGGGCTCACCATTTACGGGGTGGCCTTTGACAGTGAGCAGTTGGGCTTTCATGCCTGGTGGGGCCTTAATAGCCAGACTGGAGTGTTGCGGCACATTACAGCATAAGTGTGACAAGGGGCTTTAAGGAAAGTTACATTTTGTTTCCATGGCTTTTATACTGGTTCAAGAGGAGCGATGCTTCCCAACCACAAACGGTGCTGCACACGATGAGGGGGTCTTCACAAGTATCAGTCACACGCCTTTTTCGATCTGAAAGAAGCCCTAATTCGCAGCATTCATAGTCCCTGAAGCCCACGTGCACGAGACTGGATGCACCTTACAGCTTGGTGCTTTCGGGATCTAAGGGATCCAAACAAGTCCTACGAGTAATGTGGCGCAATACGTACAAGTATGTCATCCCCGGTAGCCCACCCACCCTCAGGAACCCCGAAACCCTAGAACACGGCATGCTTGGGCCCAGAAGCCTGAGTTTAAACATCCTTAAACCCTGAAAGCTGCAGGAACCCGTCAACCCTCAACCCTGAACCTGCCCACACCGGCCTCTTGCCCTTCGCGGCGATGCAGTCGTGGAAGGTGACATGCTCGCAATCTTGGCGAGCCCTCGGAATTTGATGGACTCTCTGCGTTTTAGTGGTCGAGGATAGAATCGATCGAATCCTAGTGCTTCCTAGCAATGCATCTTGCCTCCGACGACCGCAAAACCTGAAATCCCACAACTGAGGCACCGAAACCTTGAAATCATATTGAGCCCTAAGGCAAGCCTAAACCCCGCTAGCCAAGAGGCCCTATGTGCTCCCCACAACATCCAGTCTTTCTTGGGCCCATAAGCTGCTACATGTTAAGCGATGCTGAGCCCTCTAAACAAGTTCGGTATGCACATCTGTATGTGATATATATATATATATATTATGTATTCTAGACTGAACTTAGAACCCTAGCAAAAATTATAATTTTAGCTGTTTCTTAGGGATTGTAATAACCAAAAATTAGAAAACTATTTCTAAGTACCCCTAAGTATATATAGATATATAGATATATAGATATAGAGTTAGGTTCAAGTGCTGGAGCAGATTCAAAGATGTGGTACGGTACTGCTGAGGCTCCTAGGAGCATCGGGGGTTCCAACCTAAACCCTAACCCCTAAACCCCTAAACCCTAAACCCTAAACCGTGGTAACCAGAGCTGAAAAGGAAGGAAGTTGCAATGGCAGGCAGCAATCCGAAAAGAATTGCTACGGCCCTGTCTCATATGGGAGTTTCCGAAAAATAGGGCACCCGAATAGAATACCCTAATTAGTAGGATCCTTGTTCTAAGGACACCAAGGTAAGGTACCCCCCAATTTTCGGAAAATATCATATAACCCGCCACTGCTCAAAACTGAAGGATCGAATTTCCTGGCTGCGCTACGCCGACCACTTGCAATCTGAGAAGTAACGCTGGTAATCTAGCACCTGAAGGACAAGATGACTCTTAAAGGTAGGGGCCATATACCCATATACAATGAAGCCCTATAATTATGGTATATGAACCTCAAACCCTTTTAGGGTTCATTTCGTCCTTAAGCAGTTGTCACCTGAGCACTGACCTGTGCAAGTTGTCAACAGAAAAGAAGCATGCCGCAGACATGAGTAAGATGCCTTGATATGGGAGTTTCCGAAACTGGGGGGCCCTAGTCTAGTACCCCAAACAGCAGGATCCTTATTATAAGGACCCCAAAATAAGGTACCCCTATTTTTCGGAAACTCCCATATGCAGCGGGATCCTCAACATCAGCTGAATTACAGTACTATGCTCATTTAATGGAGGGATGTTGCAAGCCCGGCCAAATAAGGAGCACAAGCCCCAATTCAATCTCGCCAAACCAACACAACAACCTCTGTAGAGCCTTTAGAATCCCTACACAGAACACTCCTACAGGAATTTCTATCAGACCCGACTAAATCCTTTAAAGCTCGTACATAGCCCTGGCCACCCCTCGTATAATCGTAAAGGACCCCTAAACACACACACAACCTCAAACCTGAACCCAAAGCTTCATGAAATCCACAGTCTTCCTCAACCCGCCTATATAGCTCCTACCCATGCGATCCATAGTAGCTCCTTTCTGGGATTACTTCGTAGACTTCTAAAGATGAACCCAAAAAGGAACTACTATGGAGCTTCTAGGTAAACCCCAAATCATAAGGACGCCGAAGTTCCCCGGTGCAGAAAGGTCCGTGTTCTTTCCGCTGTAGCCTCGGAGACTATGAGACATCAGAGAAGGTTTGTCCATGAGTTAGGGTTTAGGGTTTTGCGTGGTTTACGGGGTTTAGGGCTCATTCGACGAAATGGCACAACAGAAACGTTGATTTACTTGCACCGAACATGTGGAGAAGAAGGCTGACAGTGAGATCTATGCCGGGCACCTTACCACAAGGATCCACTGCTCTTTGGTGAAAGAAACTACCTATAGTCTCCATTGTGGTGCCTTTTGGGGGTTACCTTATAGGATTCTAAGTTTTTAATAGAAATAACCAAAAGAAGGAGCTACAACGGAGACTACCTTAATTAAGGAATATACCTCAAATTAAAATGGGATCCCTAATATGACTTAAGGCATATTCCTTAGTAGTTAAGTGATATTAGAACCCCTAAACCCTAAACCTTATAGATCGCTTAACGGAGCCCTAGGTATTCCTTAATTGGAAGGTCTGGGTCTCTTCGAGCTGAGCGGCGGCAGCTGCCGATCGCATCTCTCTTGTACCTGATGTTATAAGGACCCTTAGGGGGGTAGGGAGAGGGGGGGTGGGGGGTCTTAATGCCCATACTAAGGACCCAATAAGACCTTTTTCAGGAAATATAGTCCACAACCCTCCTCCCTACCCCCATAGGGTCCCCATGATGAGGAACGGCCCGGACCCCAAAATTAAGTAGGAGATTTGAGCTCACGGTTTAAGAGCCCGAACCCTCAGTACTCTGACCGGGGAGATGTGGACACTTCGCCCTAACCACCCCAAAAAATCCCTAAATAGTTCCCTATAAACTCTACCGTTTACACATCCGCGGCCGCTTTAGGTTTCCACTCGAGGCGCACGGTTCAGGGTATGTAGGACATCGAGGAACCCGACTCGCTCTGATGATAATATAGGGGCCTTAACATGTTTTCAATAAAGTTTGAGGGCCCATTATACTATAAGTATAAAACGTATATTAAGGAGCCCCTAACATAGTACAGGTAATTATTAAAGCCCCCATACTATCGAACCCTATTATGGATCCCTTACAGACACTTTCAAGGCTCCTTTAAAGGGAACCCTGGGTACAAGTAATTATTAAGGCCCCTATAATTGTCTTGCCTAGTCCGAGGGGCTCAGGAATCTCTCCGATCTTTGACGATTAATGTAGGGAGGGGTTTAGGATTTTGGGGCTTAGGGTTTAGGGCCTTAACGATTAGAATAGGGTTTTGCGTGGTTCCTTGTTAGAACTCGGGGTTTAGGGCTTAGGGGAATTATAGGCTAATATACGGCCCAAACCCTATTCCAATCAGTCAGGCGCCTATATTGCAGCTTCAGCTTAAAAGGCAGTTACAATGGAGACGTGTGGGAGTTTCCGAAAATGGGGGACCTTAGCATAGCACCCAAAATAATACGATCCTGATTATAAGGACCCCAACATAAGGTAGTCACCATTTTCGGAAACTCTAAACCCTAAACCCTTTATAGAACCCTTACAGATCCCTTAAAGGTACCCCTAATTTTCGGAAACTCCCGTGTAGCTAGGGCCTGAAGGATACGAGCGGCTCCAAATTCCAAGTCCAGGGGGTTCCAGGTAATTTAGGGTTTGATACAACAAGGGTTATAGAGCTTAGGATAGGAACCTGATTAAGAATCCCTCGGTTGCCTTTGGGATTGGGGTTATAAGGCCAGAATTTCTTAATCAGGTTCCTACACTATCGAGAGCTTCTTAGGATAGCCGTCGCTTCTCTCGGAGACTGCAGGCCCCACTTAGTGTCGTTCTCGGAGCTGATTGTAAATGGAGGATGTTAGGGCTTCTCTGTGACCCTGCGCCAAAACGAATTCAACATGACAGGTCTGTTCAAGAGCTCTTATGATCGTTTTGTACCCAGAGACTTCAGCATCCCTTAATGAGGGCATATACCGTGAACTAGAGTATGCTTCCTAAAATGATTTAAGGTATTATATTCCTGAACTAAGGGATATTGGAATGTCTGGGTACTACAGGCTGAAAAGGCCCAAGCCGCAATGCGACGCCGTTGAAAGCCGAGCGTACCTGGTCTGCTACAAGGATCGGACTTATAGCAGGTAGCACAGGCTGTTGATTGTCAGGAACTGTAAGCAACGATTTGACCCTAAACCCTAAATCCTAAACCCTATTTGACTAGTTGCATGAGCTTTCGGTATTGAACCCCTCAACTCTACCCAATCCTTTTTTGAACCCCGCGTCTGACGGGACAGAGCATTCTCCGAACCCCATAGACCCTAGACCCCGGAACCCCGAGGAACACGAGTGAATCAGCAAGTTTTCAGACATCCGCATTGCTACCTTATTCCGATCTTGGCTGCAAGTTGTGTCTTCTGATTTAGTGCTAATCAAGGGTTTCAGGTTTTAGCAAGTGAGGGTGGAGGACCCCAACATCTCGAATTGAGGGAGGAGTAGGGATTATGATTTCGCGATTATGGATTGCTTGGGACGTGGCATGTAGGGGAAATATGCTGATTTATAGTTCGGGTTTTGGGTTGGCAGATTGTCAGTACATCGCAATGACGCAGTACCGAAAACGGGAGATCCTTGTTGGCGGTGCCGTCCACTCTACGTTTCTAGCTCGAAGCCAACCGTTGTGGCATCATTTTCAGCCATCCAAAGTTACGGCTAGGATCCCGCAACAGAAAACATAGGGGATCCCGCAACAGAAAACCGAGGTAACCAAGAAGCACAAAGGATATGAAGCACTCCGTCGTGGACGGTTTAGGCCTAGTGCTTTCAGGGTTGAAGCTGCAGGCATTCGGGGTTGTGAAATTTTCGGAAGGGCCCATGTACCATAAACCCTAAACCGCGTTGTCATACTTCGGCCTTTCGGGCGTTCCTGTGTCGGGACCTTAGGTACTTTACGGTCAAAGCAGTTTAGTACATGGGTATGTTAACCCATAAGGTTCGGGTCAGTTGTTATGCCATAAACCCTAACCCTGATGTACGTGTGGGATTGCCCAAGGAGCGGGATAGAAGTGGTCCGGATTCTCATCCGCCATGGCCTCCAAGAAAAGGCTCGCGTGTAAATCTTGCTTTCTTAGGCTTGTGCAGATGACCCTAAGGGTCCAAAGGATCCCAAAACCGTAAACTCGAGCACCAGCCATCATACACCAAAACGCAAAACTATTCCAACAAAAACAACACTAAACCTGGAACTGCTGAACCTGAACCCTACACCTGAACCCAAAACCCCTAACCCCTAAACCCAAAACCCCTAAACCCTGCACCCTATAGGAATCCTTATAGATCCCTTATAGTAACCCCTATAGATCCCTTAGAGGAACCCTTATAGATCCCTTATAGGAACCCTTATAGATCCCTTAGAGGAACACC